GATAGTATCACCCTGTGCTGAAAAGAACTGAAAACCTCCTTTCATCCAATCATAGGAGCAGTGCCATTTCCGCATTACTACTCACTCAAAGGAAAAATGACCCAAACTCATCAGCAGAAAATAACATATAAAGCAAAACAAACAAAGGAATAAAAACCATAGTAGATCCTCATCTCCATACAAGACATAATTCTTCAAAATTTAAATTTCAAACAAATAAACACACTACAACACCACCACAAACATTAGTCTTCCACAATGTGGAAGATATGTTTTAATTCGGAAAGAAAGTAAAATGCAAAGATCCAGTCATCTCCGGCACTACCTACCTCTCGTGTCAATGAATCAGAGCAGCCTGGGGACCAAGTGGGGTGAGGAAATGGATCTAAGATGCTCCGGCTTAGGAACCTTTAGGGCTCGTTCTCCCTTGGTTTGGCACACGGCTGGCAGGGAAGGCCTGAGGGTCACGTAGGTCACGTGTCCTCCCTTTTCCAATGACGGATTAGTCTAAGGGGACCCCCCTATTCCACAGGGACAAGAACCTTCCTTTCTCCTCTCTCCCAAAATGCCCATGCAGCTTCCCAAGGTGCGCAAACCCCAAAGTGTCGTCATCGGCCTCCAAACAGACGTTACATCTTGATTCAGAGGTGCCAGCAGGAAGCTTAACTCTCTCCCCCAATTTTTTTGTTGTTGTTATACATTCTAAAATGGATTTTTAATCCCCGCAGGCATTAAACATCTCAAGACTGTTCCTGCCTGAATTACACAGTGACGGACAGAGAATGACCTGTAACAAAATGGCTGGAACGGGAAAATGCTCCGGGGAGAAGACAGAAAGCACATCCCATTCAGCCAGCACAGCAGAGCCCAAGCCCCCCGGGAGAGCGGTCTCCCCAGCAAGAGAGGCAGGACGAAGCCTGGCCCAGCAGCTCTCTGCGGTTCCCTCTCGCTCAAACTTAAACACAGGCCGCATTCTGAAGCCAAGGCCCAAACCGAAAATAACTGAAAGGCGCTGCCCTCGTGTTCTCGGCCACACACCAAAGCCCGCGTGCTCTGCACAGAGCCCAGCCCGCTGCACCGAAGGCGAGAACGCCGGGGGCAGGCAATCACACACTGCCTTCCCGGTTATTACGAGGCCTGCTTCCTCCTCCCCCCGTCACAGCCTCAGACATTTCCACAGGCCAAGAAAGAGGAGGGCAGGACCACAGCAGAAGCCCAGTGTGCTCCCCACAAGGGGACCTTTCAGCACCCACACTCCAGCATGGCCTGAGGGTGATGTCAGCCTCTATTCTATAGGCTGTGAAACAAGCTGACTTTGTGACCAGCTGGCTGGCCCCCTCAGAGGTCCCAGAGATGGAAAAGGATTGGTTTCACCCACAGGGGCCTCGATCCCTATGCAGGAAGTCCAGCCAAACCATTTTCAAGTAAGTACATTCAGGAGACAGGCATAGAAACACTTAGAAGAGCGTCTGTGAGGCATCAAGGTTGCCCCTCCCTGCTCCTCCCTCCCTCTGCTCTGACCCCAAATCACACTGCACACACACCACTGCTGGGCTCAGCTCCCTACACATCTCTGCCTGTTTCTGTGACAACAGCCTCCTCCTCCTACTCAAGACTCTATCAAGGCTTCCCGTTTGCCATCAACCATGGCCATACACCTCATCTTAGCACTGCAACTCCTGCAAGATACAAGCACTTTAGCTACCCGTGTGTCCTCTCTGTCCTACACCTGCGTTGTCCTGGTTCTTCTCCCTTTTCTCTACCTACAGAGTCTAGTCACGAAGAACACAATCAGCCTGGATTCAAATCCCAGCTCCACCACTTACAGCTGGAGACCTGGGCAAGGGTCTGAGTGACTTAAATGACAGTGCCTTGGTTTCCTCATCTGTAGAGCAGAGATAATGGCAGTACCTTTTGCTCAGGTGAGCACAGCAGTGATGAACTGAGATGATACAGGTAAAATGCTCAGAATAAAACCTGGCACAGGATATCAGTCAACAGATCTTAGCAACTGAAACACTCATTATTATCACACAAGTCACTTCTCCCATGAAGCCTTCTCTACCAATACCAGTCAACACCTTCTGTTTTTCTTTCTTTGTATTTTTAAACATATCTTGTTTCTTAAATATTCTATGAACAATCAGAAATCATAGACACTGGCTGGAGTTGTTAGGGACTATTTCATGAGGCAGGTTACTTGGATGGTACTCAAATGTTAAAATTATTATTATTACTAATAGTTACAAAAATTATTACTTTTCCTAAAAGTCATATCCTAAAATATGTCCTGCAATTCCCAAATTATCTTTACTCCAGTAATGTTTCTAATATATTCACCTCTGAAAGATACTATCTATTTGTAGTTTAGACTGTGTTTCTGGGATCCAAGGCTTAATTCTACGGAGACTGACAGCTTCTCAAGAGCACCACAGACACCTGGACACACTGGCAGTTCCTATCACAAGGACACACTGGGTCCTTATGCCAATGCCTCCTGAATTTAAAAAGAGAACATAAAGTTGCCTGAAAAGCTAAGATAGTAAATGGGAGATTAAGCAGACCTTCAGAATAAGAGTTAAAATCTACCCTTTCAGTATCTCTCCTCTCAAACTTCTTGTGACAAACATACAAGACTGTACGGCACTTGTATGTCACAAACACTCAAGATTAAACCACTGCAAGAGGAAGAGAATGGGTGGGAAACGCCACAGAGAGGGACTAGAGCCTGATGCAGATGAATGAGGCAGCCTCCGCTCTTGCTCTCCCTGACTCTATTTCCACAGCACTTCATGTGTCCTCTCACGTGGCACTGAATTTCCACCTGGTTTTATGGCTTGGAAGATTTTACAACTGACTCCTGAGGTTATAAGCTCCTTTCCTCACAAGTTTGAAAGCCCCAAAGTTCCCACTGCAGGGCCTTACTGAGCAGAGACCCACTATTTAAAGTAATCAGAGGAGAATCTAATTTTCACAAGTTTTGACAGTAGTTCCAGCACATTCCAGACGATGCAACCGCAGTTATAAAAGCATTATCCAGCAGAAAGCGTCGAAGGACCTACTTTAACTAATGGATAAGAATATAACAAATGCTTCTAAGAAAAGGGTTGTTCTGAAGCCCTTGAATGTAATTAAAATTATCTGCAGTTTTGGCATAAGGTTGGGGAGAATAAACGCTTCCTCGGGAGCTGCTCCCTGTGATGCCACCTCCATGGTTCCAGACGGGCACTGGCCCAGCCTCTCCCGTCCTCACTCTGCTGGACCCCGGGAAGATTCAGCGCCGAGCAGGAGGTCTGCAGGGTAAGTGGGGCTTGGCTGGTGAGCCTTTCTTCTCCCCCGCTCCCTCCAAGCAGGCGCGGCCCCCAGAGAACACGCCTGCAGCTCTTCCCTGTAAACTGCGCCCCCTCAGAGGCAGCTGTCCCCTGGCCCAGGTGGGCTCCCAAGGTGGGTTAAGTTTGACTCATGTTGGGGCTCACCAGCAGGAAGCCCACCTCCTTACAGGTATGAGTCACACTGTCTTACATGAGCTTTATGGGGGACATCTGGCATCTACCAGCTGACACTGGAGTCTTTTCTGCCCTTTTGTTCAGAACCTGGGAGGGGAAGGATGGTGTTATGTATTTGGCTCCCTTAGAACCCCCAACACATCCTCCCGTAATCAGGCCTACTGTGGGGAAATTCCAGAAAAAGGTCCCATATGTGTCTCTTAGCATCACATATACCTGGCCTAACTTTGCCCCAGAAATGGATGAAAATCCACCCCCATCCCTGGAGACACCCAGCCTACAAGTGACGTGTCCTGAAAAGTACAAGTCGCCCGAGAGCCCACTCCTCGTTATCGGTGGGACTATCCAGGCTTTACCACACTTCCCATACAGGCCACATTAAGTACGTGACAGCTACTGCTTGAGATACTGGCAGCCATCCTTAGGACAAGGGAAAAGTACTGAAGTCTGTAAGAAAGGACCACACATCTCATCAGGAACAGCTGTCAACAAGGCTAAGCCAACACGCACAATCCTCTCCACCAAAAGCATCAGACGGCATCAGTCCTACTATCAAAGACCGAGATGGCGAGGGCTTGCCCGCTTGGCAGGGAAGCACTGGAGGCTTCAGGAAGGTGCGGGAGAGCAGCTACAACCCCAAACCACACTGGGGTGGGCAGGCCCCACCCTCTAAACTGAGTGTTTCCCACGCACCCTCCTCAGCTGTCAGAAATGGGGAGAGCTGAGGCGGCTGACTCACGTGCTCTCTCATCTCGTTGGCCACAGTGTTGGACATCATGACGTAGCAGAGGACAACGACCAGGATGAAGTAGAGCGCGTACATGAAGCGGGTGCTCCGGGACTGGCGAATCTTGGGGCAGCAGCCGCAGCAGAAGGAGCAGCCAGCACTTCCACAGCAGCAGGCCAACTAGGAAAAGAACACAAAAAAAGTCTCAGAGCCACGACTTTACAAACCTATTGCCCCAGACAGCTGTGGGTGGGGAGACCACCCTTCTGAGGCACCTGGCCCACAGAGGGTGAGCGAACAGTTGAGTGTGTGAACAGGGCCTTCACCAGAAGGTCTAACATCGTCTTCAACAAACGTGAGGGCCTGGGAGACGTCCAACCATTACACAGAAAAGGCAACCTTCACCCGAAGCACTGCAGTCACTCTCAAAGAAGCCAGCCAAGAGCAAGAGAAGAAGCCAAGAACTAGCAAAAGGACTAAGTGAAGCGAGAAGGATGTGAACACCAAGAAGCTGGGCCTAAGAAATGGACCTGCAAAACTCATGAGCCAAAGAATGAACTGCATGAACACCTGGGGACATGTCGGGAGGGAAAGGTTAGGTGCCCTTGCATCCATCCTCCTTTGCAGGAAGTAATGGGAAGTTGGGGAGAGGAGGGGCAGTAACTTGAAGCACAAAAAACGTAAGTGCCTCTTCAGAGCATCCTTAAAACTGGGCTTCAAGCCCCTCAGGGTAGGCTTTGGGCTCAGGAGTGGAGCATGACTGGGCTTTACCAGTCAACGCAACTGGACATAATTTGGGAATATTAAATAAAATAGGAATTGAGTTTTCAGGTTTGGGTCTGGTGTTAACCTATTTTTTCTTCTTTAAGAGTTGGGCTTTTTTATGAATATATGTATGTATATGCATGACTGGGACTCTGTGCTGAACATCAGAAATTGACACATTGTAACTGACTGTACTTCAGTTAAAAAAAAGTTTGTTTTTTGTTTTTAGAACTGTTTTAGGTTTTACAACAAAAATGAGAGGAAAGCATGGAGATTCCCCTTATGCCCCCGACTCCCACACACGTATAGCCTCCCCATTATCAATATCAGTCATCAGAATGGTACATTTTTTCCCAAGGATGAACCTGTACTGGCACATCATAATCACCCCAAGTCCACGGTTCACCTAAGGGTTTGGTCTTGATGTAGCATATTCAATGGGTTTAAGTAAATGTATGGTGCCATATACTCATCAACAGAGTATCAGGTGTTTTCACAGCCCTAAAAAGAAACTGGATCTTTAATAAAGCACAGGGCAACAGAACACAGTGCTGTTAAAAGCTCAGTGTGTTCAGCCTGCCTGGGTTTAGGGCCTGGCTCTGCCCACCTACTTGCTGTGAACCAGGAGCAAATTATTTTTGAAGACTCAGAACCCCTTGTTTATTACAGTGATGGTGGCAACAGTACTTGGCATACGCAGTGGTCTCTTGCACAACCTAATCAGACACACCTGGGGTTAGGGAGGGATTTTTTTGTTGTTGTTGCTGTTGTTTAGCAAACAAGGAATTCTACAAGAGATTACCATAAACTACAAAGACAACCAAGCCTACATGTATTAACACAATATATATATAAAACCTAAAACCTAACAATTTAGTCTCTCAGTAATGACTTAGCAGGAAGCCCAGAGCTTTGCACGGCTTCAAAACAAACATCAATTAGGAGGCTAGACTATAAACATCACTTACGAAGAGAAGAGATCAGAGGTGTAAGGCCACAGGCTGTGATCATAATGACGTTACGATGGATCTTGGAAACCTACACATTTCCCAAGTTATTTCATTTACTTCATGAAGCTACCGTTGTTCGAGCCCTTTGTCATTGTGTGCCATCTCATAACCTAAAAATTCTGCTGATGTAATCTCTCCATCTTAAGTTCAGTCTTCTAAGCCATTTTCCTCATGACTTTTCTTACCTCTTAAGGCTTGGCCACTGCTCTGTAAGATAAGCTATTCTATTGGGCTGAGCTAACAGATCACACGAGTGGGATCCTGACACTGCTGCCTGTGTGGTACTGTCACAGGCACCTTCCGTTTCGTGCACACATTCATATTCTCTGTCCCTGATTCTGCTGATCCCTTTCACTCCTATGCCCCCAAATCTTCTTCTCTCTCCCTCCCCTGCTCCCCCTTCTCCCCACCCACTGGCTTAGCTGGCTTCTCCCCAGCCCTGCCTCCCTCCTCCTCTGCCTCCCAAATTCTTTCCAACTGCCTCATTCACTAGTTGCTAACTCGTTAAGCTCTAGGATCATAGATAAAGAGTTTTACTGTATTTCAAATTCAAGTGTGATAAACAAAACATTTATCTGACTTGGAAAAAGAAAAATTCAGAAGCAGTTGATGGTATCATCCCATGATAGGATTTACCCACAGCAGAAGCAACCTTTACACTTACTATTTCTGCAGAGGGGAACAATGAACAGATATATACATAATGTGAGCCTCATCAGTCATTAAAAGACAAACAGTGACACAGTAATGTGATTATGGAAAATGTGAAGAGAAAAATCAAACTGATTTTATCCTATTCTGTCATTAAAGTCATGTATCACTGTGTGGATCTAATTTTTTAAACTCTCCTTATTTTTCACTTTCATTCTACATAGTACTACGGTATTCATATGTGTGTGTTTATGTATATACAGACGTGTGCACATATATACACACATGCCTAATGTTAGCATCAAACAGCAGTTCTCTACTAGCCTAAGAGTTATTTATCAAAGCAAATGATGCCAGTAACCAAGGGTACAAGTGTGTTTCTTAAGCTAAACATTGATATGAGAAGTGGAAATTCAAAGCAGCATCCATAAAAGAAATGTTATGTTCGCAGCGAGGAACATCTCAGGCCTGCTGACCTACCACTTCTTTCTGGAGGAGCATAATTTAGAATAAAATGGGTTTACATTCGATTCCCTGCCACTTACAGCTTTATTACTCTGAGCATGTTACTCCCCTAATCTTCCTTCAAAACTGGAAAAATCAACTCCTGGCCAGCCTAACGTCTGGGGCTGTCCCAAGCTTGGAGAGAAGTGCCTGTGTCCTGTTACCTCTGGCTCCAGACAACCCTAAACCTTTTACTGAACAAGTCAAGGTATAAAAAAGCAAATGTAGAATATACAACACCAAGAGTAAACTATGGACTTGGGATGATAATGATATGTCAGTGCAGGTTCATTGGTTGTAATTGTCAACTGAAAAAAAAGTACAACCTAAAAGTTGAGAATTACGTTTTACTTGGCGGACATTCTGAGTACTTCAAGCCCGGGACTGCTCCAAAGAGGTAAGGGAGGAACCCAGGATATATAGGGGTTTTGCAACAAAGACCAGGTAGTCCAAACATCAAAAGATGAGTGTTAAAGAAAACCAGGTATCTCAAGTTAAGGAATTTAGTGCTTTTCTACGTATGGGAAGATGCAAGAATCTGGGCTCACTGAAATCATTCCTTTGATACACACCTTAGCTATCCTCAGCCAGAGTCCTGTTCTTTCTCATCCTTAGCCCCTCAGGGTGCACCACTGTGGGAGGTGGGGGGGGGCGGCTACAGTGGCTGCAACATCCTTTGTTTACTGGTATGACAAGCAATATTTTTCATTCACACTATGACCACTGTTACCAATACAATTTTAACATTTGAATTGTATTTATGAATTGAGGTGAAATTTGGTGAAGTTGAATGTACCAGTTTGGCGGGGGGGTGTGGATAACAGGGGAAGCTGTGCATGTGTGCGGGCAGAGAGTCTAAGGGAAATCCCTGTACCTTCCTCTCAGTTTTGCTGCAAATTGAAAGTATCTCTTCACTTGATCCTAGCCAAAAGGCCACGAAGCGATTAAAACATCTCTTAAAAATAAAGTCTACCGAAAAATAAACAATAACATGAACAAAACAGTGCCCATCAATGGCTGAAATGAATAAATGGATGCTGTGTGAATGATATACGGGAAAGTCATAAGAGCAACACTCCTCAAGCCAAAGGGCTGGCCAGCCCACTCCACAGGGCCAAGAGCACAAGTCATGTGCTGCGCTCTGACTTTCTGCCACCAGCATGGTATCACAGAGAGCTCGTCATTAGGGACTTTAACTGGTAGATACTGCACACGCTGTTTTTCCATAAGAAATTATCACACATTCAAGAGAAACCCAAGACAATCTCTTTGGAGGGTGATGTTTGCAATTCTAGAAGTTCCTCCTGCAGATACGCTTGCACAAGGGCATAGAGATTTAGGTATAAGGTTGTTAAAAGCATAAAAACAATCTTATTATCCAGCTACAAAGGGGCTGGATAAATGAATTATGGATTATCTATACAATAGGATATAGTTTGAAAGAAGTCAGCGTTAGGGGCTAAATTCCATCCCTACCCGCCCCACCCCGTCATTCATATGTTGAAGTCCTAACCCCCCTGTACCTCAGAATGTGATTAAATTTGAACAGGAGGCCATTAAAGGGGTAGTTAAGGTTAAATAAGGTCATTGAGGTGGGCCCTAATCCAACATGACTGGTGCCCTTGTAAGAAGAGCCAGGACACAGACACACACAGAAAGAAGACCACATGAAGACACAGGGAGAAGACAGCCAGCTACAAGCTCAGGAGAGAAGCTTCAAAAGAGACCAACCCTTCCAACTGCTTGATCTCAGATTTCTAGCCGCCCTGATCTATGACAATTAAATTTCTGTGGTCTAAACCACTCGGTCTGTGGTACTCTGTTACGAGAGCTCAGCAAACTGACACAGTCAGTAAGCCCTGATGTTTTATATGCATGCATATCTGTGCACTAATTAAAAACTGGCCCTTGCCATCTGCCTGTACATGGATTGAACCATGAGCCGCTGCAGCCGCTGACCTTCAACACACCCTGAAAGGTGTTCAGGGTGGCCATCAGAAACAAGGTGCTCTGGGCTGTGGGAAAACTGGCAGAACAGGCCTTTAGATAGTTAATTTTAGGAGATTTTACGAGCCCAGAACCTTGCAGCTCCTCATATCTAGACACGAGATCATTAATGGTGACATCTGCTCCTCATGACTAGCAGCAGCCTCTGCCAATACGCGTGCCTGACTGTACGTATCTCCCTTTCACTAAAATCATTGGTAATACTGACCTTCTGCCTACCTCTTCAGAGTAGTTCCCCAGAGC